GGGGGGGGGGGGGAGAGCCATCTACGGATATTGACTAATGACGAACATAACATTCAAGTTTTAGGTGGATCAAACTTTGGTCAGTTTCGAATAATATACAAAAATTAATATGCTTATTATTTTATTATTTATTCAATTCAGTTACACAGATATGTATTGCATTTCAATATCTGCTTAAACAGGTAAGTTTATACAATATGAAAAATTTAAATTTCTTTATTATTTGATTTAAACTGGTTGGTCAATTCTAGACTGCGAGCGGTCCCCCCGATCCTTTCCGCAGGTTTAGATTTCCGGGCACACGAAAGGAAAGGAGGGACTGCCGACAACACATCAAGAAACGAAATACGCGTTTCCCACATAACGCAAAATTCCCATTGGTCGAAATCGATACGCCTGTCAATCAAATCTGATACGTAGTAATTATGCTATAAATAATTTCCAGAGTGAATGTTGATTTTATGCAGGGTGTATCAAAATAAAGGTAATCGAACTTCAGAGCGCAGTTGTATCTGAATTACTCTGCGTATGGACGATATTTTTTTATCTTCGGAAAGATCAGGCGTTTTATTATTAAATGATATGTTCTTCATGCCAAATGGATAAAAAATGAGCAAATACGAATCCGATAAAAATTGTTAGTCAGGCGCAGAGGTTTCACCCAAAGAGCCTGGGTACGAGGTTGTGCTTCACCCCCCCGCCAGGGCTAAAATATCACTTGAATTTTATCCCCTAGCCGACGGCGCGAAGCGCCGTGCGAGGGTATTAATTCCGCACGGTTATTTACACCCGGGTGTTTAATTAAGAACATAGCGAAGTGCAAAGTTGTCCTCCATTATGTGATGGACGGTCTTCGACGTTATGCGCGTGCGCGAGTACAAGCTCGCACTAAGAAAATGTTTTTCATTTTGCAAAGATGTATTTCGCTGTTTTACAATATATTTTTGCGATGTATTTCGCTTTTAACTGGAAACAAGCCTGCAGTTTCATGAATTAGTGGCTGTCAACCGTGAAACAAAGTGTGAAAAGCATGTATAAACACGAATTTTGTCGAAGACGAACCAGATGGTTTTTTTAAAGTAATTTTAATTTTTGTCTTGGCTGTATGTTTGGGACTTGGGTAAGTGTTATAAACATTTCAGTATTAAAATTTCAGACCGTACTTGCTTTGTGTTTTCGGTTTCATTAATATATCTGCGAAATAATACGTTAGTAAATACGCCAGTAAATAATATGTTTTTATGCAAGCTGGTATTTACATGAAATTGTATAAATGTAGTGGATAATTATCTATAATAATTATCACTTATTTACTGAGACCGAGGGAAACAGTGTGTTTTGTGGACCCGAGACCGTCGATGTTTCCCGAGCCGTCGATGTTTCCCGAGGCGAAGCCGAGCGGTCCACTCGAGGGTCCGCTTTCCCGAGGTCTCAGTAAATAAGTGTTTTATTACACTGGCCTGTAGGCCAAGTGTCTTAAATCCCTCTTTTTCTGTTTTTTCCTGTTTTTTTCGTAGTCGAGAAATCGAGTTTGCGTTAGCTCATCGCAGGCTCAGGCTGCAACGATTAAGCCAAAATGCATTCGATACTTCGGTTCCATAATTTATATACTACAGTAAAAAGTTCGTATTTATGTACGTAATAGCCGGCTCATGCCATGCTTGTGGTACATTTTTTGTTTATTAGCCCATACACTTGTTCGCACGCGCACAATTCCAAACTCCGACGATAGAGAGCTCCAGTGCTCCAGTGACATATGCAGTTCAGTTTCAAAATGGCGGCTTTTCACTGGGCGATCTAATATATATTTCACACAGTTTCGTTGAATTTTTAAAGAATTGTGCCGGTTTTCCTGTGAAAAATACGTTGTGTCGCACTCTGGACTCTCTGGCGTGTTGAATTTATGTGTTTTTCTTTGTGTAACGACTCGAAAACCCCAATATTTGGTTATTTGGACCGAGCGAATTTATACAATATAGTGGAATATAACCAAGGACAAGTTAAAGGTTTGACAGTTTGACTTTTTAATTAACAAGTATAAATATACGTTGTAGATTAATAAACATGTGTTGCGCACTTGTGTTCATTTGCATAATTATAGATTTGCACGTAATTACATTAATTTGCACCAAATTATTTTCCATTTCATATATTAGCCTACTAGGCCGTGGGCTGTTGTGCGAAAAAGTGCCTAGAAAAGCAATTTCGTGGCACCCTCCTGGGAAACAGATTTTCTGTGGTTCAATTCATTGAACTATAGACTATAGATGCTTAATCACCACAAAAAGTTCCCAAGCAAAAAACTTGCCCTACACCGAGAAAATGGGTGATCAGTGATTATCCTCTATTAAAGTGTATTACAGCAAGAAAATGTAAAATTTTGTATTCAATTACAACAAAAATGACTTGCATTATCAGAAAGCTTACAAAAACCTACATATAAGACATTTA